ACTACTACTACTACTACTACTACTACTACTACTACTACTACTAAAACTTACTACTAAAACTAACTACTACTAAAAACTTACTACTACTCTACTACTAACTACTATTTTATTTATTACTACTAAACTACTTACTTAACTACTACTACACTCATATTATATACGTACTTACTACTACTACTACTACTATGGTACTACTTACTACTACTAATACTAATAATAATACATAATAAAAATACTATACCTACTACTACTACTACTACTAATACTACTACTACTACCACTACTACTACTACTACTACTACTACTACTACTACTACTACTACTACTACTACGACTACTACTGGTACTACGACTACTACCGACTACTACTACTACTACTACTACTACTACTACTACTACTACTACTACTACTACTACTATCATTCGTATTAACCGTATTAGTAGTGCCAGCATCCGTAACATTATTGATATGCTTCGTCTTCGTCATCTGATTATTCTATTCTCATGAATCGTATACGTATGCTTATTCTTAGTAGTGATGTTATTATTAGTCCTCCTCCTCCTCCTTCTCCTCCTCCTCCTGGACAGCAGGCTGACAAACACCACCAGCCCTCTGGGCGCAGGTGGTGCCCCGCTCTTCAAGCACCAGCCTCCCCCCCTTCGGGGAGGACCCTGCCCCTGCCCGCACCCACGCCGCAACCCTGGCATGCGGACTCGAGGTGGCTGGCGGTCTACTGCGGTGGTCGCCCCTGGCCAGCCGTGGAGACAAAGGGCGGGACACAACGGAAGATCGGGCTGCGAAGGGGCGGGGCTCGTGCGGCCTTCCTCGGGCTCGCTGAGGGAGGGTGCTTGCTCCCAGGGGTCCCTGGACCCTTGCAGGGGTCCCGCCGGGGCGATCTCACGGTGCTGCTGGGCCAGCTTGCACTCGGGGGGGGCCTCTTGGAGCCCTCTCCGGATACTTTTGGTGTGCTCTCCAGGGGGCTATTGCAACCAGACTTGGGCGATCTTGCAGCCCACGAGGGCAATCTAGGAGCCTTTGGGGTCGTCTCGGCGCGTATCCGGAAGTCCCTGTTGGCCCAGGCTGCGGATTCGAGTGCTGCGGGGCCCTCCTGGGCCACCGTGGGGCCCCCGGGGCCCGTGGAGACTCCGCGGGGCCGCCCTCGGCCCATCCGAAGCCGCAGAGCCGAGGTGTCCGTTAGCTTGGGCCTCTCGGGCGCGTCCTTCGGAGGCGCACGGGCCACCTATGATCAGGGAGACGTATAACTCGGGCACGGGGGACTCGGGTTGGCCTGACGGGAACCACCATCGAAACGACGAGACACCATCTGAAATTCGACGCGGGCTCCCGCTGCAGACATCCCACGAAAACGGGACCGTCAAAATCCAGGACGCGCTCGTCAAAAAAGGGTCGGCAAACCCGAGTTCCGGCGTACTCGAGTCTTACGTCTCCCCGATATGAGCCAAACTGGGACCCTCTTCGGGCCCCGGGAGCCGCGCGGGAGACCTTCGGGGGCCAGCTTGGACCTGGACCATCTGGTGTCATCTGGGGGGGGGGGGGGGCTCCTACGGCTGAAGACGAGACGAGGGCCACACCTGTCCCACGTTTTTTGGGGCGCTGGACGGGGTCGAACAGCTTCAATCCGAGAAACCCGGCGGTGGCTGGCAGTCCAGGCCTCGAGGGGCTTGGACCAGGGCGGTCGTCGGTAGTCGGAACCATCCGAGATGGCAATGGGTGGTCAAGATGGCCCCAAATGGCCCGAGACGGCCTCACAGGAAGCGCAAGACAGCTCCAGCTGGCCCGGATTACCTCCAGCATGGCCCCGAGAAACCTGAAGACGGCCCCGCAGAGGCCACGAGGCCTTCCAAGGATGCCCAAGAGAGGCCAGACTGATTCCGAAAAACATGCAGTTGTTCTGTGAGTCTGTCTTCCTCGCCTTTTCGGCTTCGGATGGGCCTGTGAGGCTGTATCTGGATCATGCGCGGACGGCCCTTGATCACTTTGAACCGTTTTGGGGCATGGACGGGGGGGGGGCGGCAGAATGCCTCTATGTAGGCCCGTCATCCGCTTCGGCCAGGAATGCAAGGCTCACCCTGCCAGGGACGGCGGGGGGGGGGGTCGGCATATCGCCTGTTGCGCGCAGGCCCACCATCCCTGTCAGAAACAAGTGCAAAAGTGATTGCGGATGTACACCCACACACTCACACTCACACACACACACACACAGACAGACAGACAGAGACCCACACACACACACACACCATACACCATACACAACGCTCGCAAACCTACCGTCACTTTGAACTGGTTTTTCCCCAATCAGTGCTTGCACTGAGGGGGTCCTCGCGGAAGATGAAGAATTTGGCGAAAGTGTCCCGCCGACTTTGGTCGCACGCTGGGTTCCCAAGTTCCCAGTTCTGGGTTCCCGGGTTTCCGGTTCCGGTTTCCGGGCCGATTTCGGAGAGCGGCGAGTTTCCCGGGTTCCCAGGTTCTTGGTCGATCTTCTGATCGATCGGTCTCACCATCGATCTCATTACTCACTTCTCTATCGATCTCACCATCGATCTCACTATCGATCTCACAAGCGATCTCACTAGAGATCGCATGAGCGATCTCTCGATCGATCTCGCTATCGATCTCAGTGAATCGATTTCACTCTCGATCTCAGGATCGACCTTGCAATCGTCCTCACCATCGATTACACTATCGATCTTGAGATCGATCTAACAATCGATCTCAAGATCTATAGTATTAATTTTCAAATCATCCACTGATTGGGGTTTTCTCAAGTGTAACTTTTCACATGGATTCAAGGGGGGGTCGACACTCATTTCCCAATGCGGCGCACCTGGTGCGACTGGCGCCTCCGGCATGCTTGCGGCGCACCTCGCGCGCTTCGCGCACCTGGCTGGCGTCTGCATCAGTGCCCGATGGTTGTCGATGGCGGTCCCTGCATATGCTGAAACTCGGGTGCTACTGATGCAGGGGGAGGGCGGGTGTGAGTTAGCGAAACAGATTGCGGCGTTCTGGCTGGGAGCTTGGCTCCTTCCCCATACCCCCTCACCCTGGGTATGGACGGGTGGATGTTAGTGCCCAGCAAGGTTTGGGCTCCATGTTGGTCTCCAGGAGGGGGGGGCGCTAGTTGAGGACCCCCCCTTCGTTAAATCGATCGCCTCCAAGATGGCCCCAAGACGGCCCAAGATGCTTCCAAGAAATCCCGTAGAGCGCCCCAAGAGGCGGCCAAGATGCCCCAAGAGGCGCCCAAGAGGCCCCCAAGACGGCCCCCGAGAGGCCCCCAAGCGGCCCCCCAGAGGTTCTAAAAGAGGCCCCCCAAGAGGCACTCAAGACGCCAAGAGGCCCCAAAGAAGCCCCAAGAGACGCCTCAAGAGACCTCCAAGAGGCCCCCAAGGAGCTCCAGGAGGCCCCGGAGAGCCGCCAGGAGGCCCCCCAAGAGGCCCCCGAGAGAGGCCCCCCGAGAGAGACCCCGGGAGACAGCCCACGAGACCCCCCGAGGGGGGCATCCAAGAAGCACCTGGGCCAAGGTGGGGCTCCCTGAGCCCTCCTCCTCCTCCTCCTCCTCCTCCTCCTCCTCCTCCTCCTCCTCCTCCTCCTCCAGTTGGGCCCCAAGAGAGCCCCGAAGGCTCACAGGAGCGCCCCGAATTGAGGAGCGAGAGGGGCCCGTCAGGCCGCGCTCCCGGCACCGGAAGGGGCCGCACAGCGGAAGCCGAAGCCCCCCCTCCCTCGAGGCCTATGGCCTCGGCCCGGGGAGGGCCCGAGAGGCCCCCCAGAGAGGCACACCAGAGGCCCCCAACAGGGCCACGGGAGAGCCCCAGGATGGCCCCAGAGGACCCTTGAAGGCCCCAAGGTGGCTCCAGAGGCCCAAAAAAGAGGTCACCAGAAGGGCCCCACAACGGCAGCGAGGCAGCCGCACGACGGCTCCGTGGGAGGACTCAAGCGGCCCCTCTGCGGCTGCGGGCGGCGTGGGTTGCTGGCCGGGGCGTGTGAGCACCATCGCTTTGAGGCTGTCGTAGGGGCTCTGGCTGCCGGGAGGGGGCACCGAGCCTGCCTGGCACCACGCAAAAATGTGACGGTGGTGACGATGTGTGATTCTGGAGGAGGGGTGCCCAGATACGGAAGAAAAACGAGGCACCATTCAAAACAATGAAGCGACTCGTCCGACCTCGCACAAGGCGCACAACTTCCCCTGAAGCCGAATAGAATACTCGTTATACTCATAAGTTCCTCGCCTCCTCCGTTTCCTCCTCCTTCCTCCTCCTCCTGTTCCTCCTCCTCCTCCGTTGCTCTTCCTCATGAACAACTCCTCCCTGTCGCACCCCGAGACTGGTACATAGGGCGGGCCTGCCGTTTCG